CAGGATGGCTTGGAGCTGGACGGCAATAGTTCCATGGTATCTTCTTTGTTAGAATCAGGGTTTGAAAGCAATGGCTTCAGCACTGGGGTTTCTAGAGATAAAAACTCAAAGCCTAGTGCAAGACAAGACCATTATAACCTTTCCACTGTGTATCTTTGTTCATTCAACCACCACAAGAAGTGAAGTCACAGGGCTGGAGAGATGGCTCAGAGGTTAAGAGCACTGACTGTTCTTCCAGAGGTCTTGAGTTCAATTCCCAGCAACCACATGGTGGCTGACAACCATCTACAATTCAATCTGGTATATATGTAATAAATAAATCTTTAAAAAAAAAAAGAAGTGAAGTCAGGGGCAGGTAATGTTTCTACCTGACTTGAGAAGTCAGACTAATGCGCCTTTCTCACATGAAGTGGGCCCTATCCTGGAGGATGAACCCTCATGGGGGACATCATTAGAATGGGTCCCTCCCTCAGTCAGCAGCCATTGCATCTAGTCTCTTGGGCTCCTCTAACCCAGGCACACATCTGGCAGAAATCGCATCTTAAGGCTTGGCCAAACTAAAACTGGTCTTCGGAGTGGGGTGAAGGAGAAGGTTCCAAGAACCCTGACCTGACTTCACTTCATACCACAGAGTGCCAGGTTGCCTTGAGGTCTTCGGTCAATGTGGAGAGGTAGTTCTGGGTCTGAAGACATGGGACAAAAGCATCCTGCTGCTTTCAAGAATTTGCATTTCTGTGATGAGAACACACTTCAACAGGCACAGGCCACTATGATAGACAGCAAGGTAGCTAAAGATGTAAGTACTTTCAGGAGGGTCCTCAGGCTCAAGGGGAAGGATATGACTCTTTCCATAAAGAATAGTGCATACTGGGGGGAGCATTGGGATAAGAATCGGGACAAAGACCTGCTGGATTTTCATTCAGAACTGTGGTACTGAGATGCAGTTCAATTGATATACGAATGTCCCATGTCTGTATTTCATCATTTCCATGCTCCCAGCTTACCATCTGCACAATGTCCAGCCAAGGGACTATGAACCAAGAGGAAATTGCACTGCTGTTCTGCATAATCTGTCTGATCCTCCGGGATATTAGTGGAGACATGTGAGTCTTCACTCATCTGAGCAGTAATGTCCTGATGGTCTCTCAGCAGGAAGTTTCTCATTTCATCTGGCTAAGAGGCAGCTCTGCGATGAGAAGAGAGTGGTAGCTTTCCGGTCTCACGGAGCTCCGCTGATGCACCTAAACCCGACCGCTCCTCAGTTGCTGCGGATGACTCTCGTGTGCTGACAGGTCACGCATTTCAAGACAAGACACTGGCCGGAGTGAGTTTGCAGTGGTGGGACGATGAAGTGTGACGGATGTTAAGTGGCAGGGTCAGGAGCCCACCCGCCCACCCTCCCCACCCCTCTCCCCTCTGCCCTGGCAGCTTCCCTCTGCAGCCTTGGAGGGGAGTGGCACATCTTAGGCAAGTCCCATAGGCTATGCAAACCCATGCTTCTTCAAAGGAAAATCGGCAGACCCAGACAGAGCTGCCCATTTATAGCGGAAGAATGGCATTTACAGGAACGAAGGCTCCTCACACAGTCCTAGGTACACAAAGAACCCTGAATGGTAACAATAGTGCTTACTAGACGCCACAAGAAGTATGCAGTATTTCAGGTACAGTAACTAACTGAATAGTCCCAGTCCTGGAAATCCAGCCTCCATCCCTGTTGTCGTCCAGAGGAAGAACCTAAGATACCAAGAGCCCCTATCACTTCCTGTGCTTGCAGAGCTGAGCTACTAATGACTTGGCCTCAGAAACCGAGTAAATAGTGAAAGCTGTCCGTCTATTGGTGGATAGACGGACAAAGATCATGAACTCCTATGAACCGCTGCAACCCAAAGGCTGGAAATGCTCATCCAGGCACCATGATGTCCAGAAAACACAGCTAAACATTTAACGCTGCTACAGAGTGCCCTTGTCTCCTTAAGTCGGAAGTGAAGTGGCTGGCCTCTCTTGCTCATCCGGCCTGGTATGCCACAGCTTGAAAGGACAGATCTGAAAGATCTACAAGCTACCTAAGTCCTAATTATACACTGAAGGAACTGAAATGAGAGAAACGACAGAGCACGGCCACACACATGTGCTGGGACCAGAGCTCTGCGCCCAGCACTGTTTCCATTCTCTTACCACTCTGCCTGTATGTCATACCATGAAAGTTGCTTCTGGATGTAGAGAAGGAATTAAGAACATAAATGAAGATTCGAAGGGTCCATGATCCTACACAGAAAATTCTTTTTCTTTCTTTTTTGTTTGTTTTTGGAGACAGGGTTTCTCTGTGTAACAGTCCTGGCTGTCCTGGAACTCACTTTGTAGATCAGGCTGGCCTTGAACTCACAGAGATCCACCTGCCTCTGCCTCCCAGGTGCTGGGATTAAAGGTGTGTGCCACCACCACCCGGCCCAAAAATTCCTTCAAAGTGAGATGGCCTTACTTTGTTACGAGGACTTTCCTACTTATGTGTATCTGACAGAGTCATTGGACCTGCCCTTCCCCTGTCTCCTGCCTGAGTTCAGATACATAGGTATCTGGGACAAAGGGCACAACTGTGTGGATCATAACCTATAGATGGACCAGGTGGCTACCACCGTTTCCCAGGCGTGCCTAACACATTCCACATCCCCACCTAGTGATATTGGCTGATGCTGTTCCCATACCTGAATCCTATCCCTAGCCCTAGGGTTCACTGAAACCAGAAGGAGGACCAGAAGGAGGCCTCAAAGCTCAAGGATCACATTGGTAGTGGGTAAAATTCTGGCTGCTGTGTTGGCCAGGCAAGGATCTCTGTGTTCTGTTCATGAAAGTATGTTTGCTGATTGCCTCACCAGTTTCCCTGTCTCCATTTCCAGCTGACCAAATGGGAATCATGATAGTCCCCTCCTGCCAAGCTCGGAAGAGTAAAACTGGAGATTCGGATTCTGGAACAAATGCTGAGTACTAGGTACAGGCCTGTTACAGATGTGACATGCTCCAGATGCCTTCATCACCCACACTTGTCCTCAAGCCACAAAGCTCCCCTATGCTCCAGACATCCTTAGACAGCATCTATATAGACAAGAGTATGTCTGCATAGGAAGACTTCAGCACAGCACTAGCTCTGTAAAGCTGGGTGTCACAATCGCCTCCCTTGGAGATCTTATGCCACATGCTGGTTTGATTTATGGTAGTTTAGATTTCATCTTAACTCTGTTGCTAAGGAGATACAGAGGTTGGCAAGGACTATGTCAGGTTCACCTTTCATCGACACATAGGAGCACATATTCAAAGACACAATACAAAGTCAAGGTAGGTGTCTTAAACCAGGGGTAATCAGAAATTTAAAAAGAGAGAAAGAGACAGATGTGGTGGTGTGCCGGTAGATCTCCGAGTCTGAGGCCAGCCTGGTCTACAGAGAAAGCTCCAGGATAGCCAGGGCTACACAGGGAAACCCTATCTCAAAAAAAATCTAAATAAATAAATGAAAGCGAGAGAGACAGAGACAGAAAGAGACAGAGAGATGTCAAAGCCTGTGGTGTCTGTCTTCATAAACTCAAATAGTTCATGCCAGGGGCATTGTGCTCTCCATTATGGTATACTATAAGTAGACACCGTTATCCCTGTATATATAGGAAAAGGGAGGAGCAGGGAGGCTAAGGTACCCATCAGAGGTCAGATGCCAAGTTTGTATCAGAGCTGAAGTTTGAGCCCAGGCCCACCTGACCCCCAGCTTTAAGCTAGGGACAGGCACACTCCCTTCTACTGTCCGGCCAAGACCCATGTTTGGTATGGTCTTAAACTAAAACGGAGTTTTTCTTTTAAGTAGTTGAAAAAAATTCATATCACATATAATTAGATCAAATAGTTTTAGTGTTCACAACTTCTATTGGGACCCAGCCCCACTTGCTCATTTATGCCGCTTCTCTGCCTTCTTGTGCTGGGAGACAAGCTGTAATGATGTCTGCCCAAGAGAAGGCATGCCCCTCCGAGCCTGGAGCCTGAGTTCTTCACAGAGGAGTTTATAGCATTTGCTGTGTGTCACACCGACCCTTCAGACAAACAGGACGTCTTCACAAGACTTTCTTACTTCAAGGAAAACTTCCACGTCCACAAAACGCACGTTTCTAAAAGGGCACACATCACCACTGCGGTAAGGATGGACATGGGGACTCTGACTTTTTCTATGTGTGCCGAACCATCCCTAATTTTTTTTTTTTTTTTTTTTTTGCCATCACTGGCTCCCAAGGGGGCTCTGAAGGCATTGCCGGGGGAAGCCAGCAGCCTCTGGGAAAGGAGGTATGACAGGCCAGAGCAAGCCTAGAAGCAAAGGCAAAGGGATTTAGAGCCCGAAGCCAGCTTAACTTCACGAATTCCTTTGCCCCTTGATTCATGGTTTCCTGCCACATCTTGTTCAGCTGTGGACATGCCTGGGCCCCAGGCAGGGACAGACAAGCTGGGATGATGAAAGCCCAGGACCTCCAGGCCTGGATCCTGAATCCTGCCTCCACCCTGACAGTTGGCAGAGCCCCACCTCAGCAGAGCCCTCCCACCAGAGTCCTCGGGTTCCTCATACGGAAAGTGAAAGGTCAGCTCAGGTGTTCTGATGTGGACACAGTGCCAGAGCTGGCTTCTTCCCACGAATAGATACTCTATTGATTGGGTAACACATTAGGGCCCTCCATTGCCTGTATTCAGGTGAGTCCAAAAAGCAGACTCTAGTCCTTCATCTAGTAATAGCTCTTGAGGATCTGCCTGTGTCTAGCTCCATAGAGATACAAAGGGAGAGTAAGGTGACCTTCTGAAACTGTTTTGGGAGCTACACAATGACCCCAGGCAAGTCAGGTCCCCAGACAGATGCTGAGGACCCAGATTAGACTCAACATGCTCCTGGTGCCTTGATTTCCATGCTTTCACCAAAGCCATAAAGCAAACCTGTGGCCCATTTTACAGGTTAGAAAGTGGAGACTCTGAAATGTTACCTGGAGGCCAAATAGCTGTTAAGAGCAGAACGAGGCTTTCAAGGCTGGTTCCACTGGTTCCAAGACTCTCCACTGGTGTCTTCTAGCATAATGTCACTGGGTGCCTGTGTGGGTACAGGGTAGACATGCTAAGATAAAGTTTGCAAAAGAAAAGAAAATATAGCCCTTCCACAGCAGCGGAAAATCTACTGAGCCAGTAATAAAACCATTCTTCTAGGACCAGCGTTCTTTACGAGCAATGTATCTCCAGATGACTCCTTTTCTTGCCCAAGTCTCAGTTTCCCTATCGTAAAACCACAGTGAGGGGCTGGGCAGCCTGACTCTGGAACACCACCAGTGTTCACAGCTCCTCTGAGTACTTGTTCATGAGTGCTATGTTGGGGTGCAGGAGTCATGTTCAGCTGCAGCCCTGAATCACAAAGCTCAACTCAGAAGACTTTGTCACCAGAACCACACAAACACAGAGAAACCCTAAGAGAACCCAATAGCCGGTCCACACTGGTCCAAACCACTAAGCTAGATTTTAAGGAAAGATGAAGGAAGATTCATGTAGATGTGGGGGTCCTTTTCTCATCCCATCCTACTTCATGTTGTCACATTTTGACACTCAGGTTTCTGTTTAGGCTTTGATTACATTTGAGTATTCCAAGACTCTTGGGACAGGATCATCAACACTTAGGAGTGGCTTTGGACGGAAGACCAGACCCAGCCTTAAGGATGGAAAGGATTTAGACAGTGTTACAAGCAAAGATTCAAAGAACTAGAAGACAGTTTAGGTATCCAGTGAGGCCAACAGTTGGTTTTGATAGGAATTATCAGGAAGTTAAGGAAAGCCAGGAAATATGAGTATCCTGAGTGCTGTCAGGAAATTTAAAATGTAATTGACCAAACAACCCCAGCACTTGGGCATGACAAAAGAGGATCATGATTTCAATGCCAGCCTCAGCTATGTAGTTAGTTCAAGCCTAGCTAATGCTATATGAGATTCGGAGTTTTTGTTTGTTTTATTTGATTTTTTTTAGAAACAGCTTTTCTCTGTGTAGCCTTGGCTAACCTGAAACTCACTCTGTAGACCAGGCTGGCCTTGAACTCATTGAGATCCACCTGTCTCTGCCTTCAGAGTACTGGGATTAAAGGTATGCACAACTATCACCTGGTGAAATTCTGTTTTGTAAAACCAAGATAAATAAAATAAAATGAAATTTAATATTCCAGTAGCAACTCAGATCTATGTTTTGAATACTAATAACAAAACAAGGGTTTCCTGCAGAAATATTTGACCCTAGTAGAACCATTAGTATACAGATAACCTGGAACAACTGTAATGTCAGAAAATAAGGAAGCAATTTTTAAAATTCTCAAAATTATCAAGTCATTGTGACATTATGGTATATATTTTATTCTATGGTTCTTACCTCATAACCCCCTCTTTAAAGAAAGCTATAGAAACTAGGATTAAGCTGGGTGTTGGTGGCACATGCCTTTAATCCCAGCACTCAGGAGGCAGAGGCAGGCGGATCTCTGTGAGTTTGAGGCCAACCTGGTCTACAGAGAGAGTTCCAAGACAGCCTCCAAAACAATACAGCGAAACCCTGTCTCGAAACACCACCCCCCAAAAAATCCCTAACCTTTGCCACCTGCCTCAGAGGTGTCTACAGAGAAATGATCCGGCCCACTGTGTTTGATGCTAGACCAGAAGACCCTGATTCAGAAAGAGTCCAGCTGCATGGGACAAATGCAGCATGAGGCTAACGAGACTCTGGACAGGCAGTTGCCAGGCCTCCCTTTTGTCCAATCACATTTCTCCAGGATCATCCCTGCTTCAGTCATACTTACTCAGGTGATGGCTCCACCACAACCCAAAGGCAGGGTTTAGAAAACTTGGCAATAGCTAAACATGCCGAGTAACCTGGAGGGTTGTACACCCCACAAATAGAAGTTCCCTGTGCTGTCCCTTACACCCATCCCAAAACATCTCTTCATTTGCACCCTGTGTAAAGTGAGGATGTCTCTGAGTTCTGTCAGCTGTTTGATTCCTCAACCCCTGGGGGCTGACCAGCTCCAGGAGGGATGGTTAGGACTTTACTGGGCTGTCAGCGCAGCTGCTGTCTGCTGCAGGTTTCATTGCTTAACCATTGGTGGGGAGACACTTCACAAACTGAGAGTCACTGGCTTGATTTTTTCCTCTATCTCCTCCTTATTGTCAAAACAAGAAAAGTCCAAGAAAATGCCATGCCTGAGAGGAGCCTGAGGAGGCACGGCAAATAAATGTAATATGGCTTCCTGGATGTGAGACTCACGTAAAAAGACAAAATTTGATGCCAGAAAAATAACATGCAATTCTTTGATACTTTAACACCAGTCTTTGCTGGAAGAAAATACATTTTACGGCCTTTTTCCAGGGCCGAAATCCAGTTATTTGTGCTTTGCTTTCAACTGTGTATATGTGACAATTACTAACATATGGGACCCATGAGCCAAAAGGACGCTGGGAAAAGCTAAGGAAATCTGAGTAAACTATGGATTTTTATCACATAGTGATGTATCAACCCTGGTTCATTAACTTTGACAACTGTAGCATACTAATGTAAGAGGTTAGTAATGGAACAGTATGCAGATGAGGGGACACACGAGAGCTTGCTATACTATCCGCTTTAACTCTCTTTTCATCTCAAATTGCTCTAAAATCTAAAGCCAACTAGAGTAAAAGTAAATTTAAGCCTGTGGCGAACCTTAGCAGACACTTTGTTAGAAATTCAGGGTGAGGCTCCTGCATCGGAACCTGCCTCCCCTGAGCCACAGATGGTGTTTGCATAAAAGAGCAAAGCCAGTTTGTACTGGCCTCAGGGACTTGCTCACAGTGAGACGATGGGCAGGATCGCTCTGTCCTTGTGCCCGTGCACACAGCCTGGCATAGAGCTACCTAACTGCGGGCTTCATCTGCCTTACCTAAGTTCCTCCGATCCAAACATCCCCGTCTGAAATCCTCTAACGCCCGAAAAGTTTCGAGTGCTGTGATGATACCATGAGTGGAAAATTCCACACCTGACCCCACGTGACTGGGTTACAGCTGGGGATAGTGGACAAGATTCCCTTTGAGTGGTGGATGTAAGGTCCAAGGTGAATATGACACACAGATTTCGTGACTCATTTTGGGTCCCATTCCCAAAGAGCTCCTCGTGTACCACTATGTGCAAATATACATAAAATACATGCACCGAAAAAGAAGTAGGGGAGGAAGGGGAGGACAGATGAAGATAAACTGTGCCCAGGAGAGAAGAAGTGGAGTTTCCAGCTTAACATTTTCACGGGAGAGAAAGCTCTCGGGCTGTTGGCTTTGTGGGCTTCGGTAGCTGTCCTCCCGCAGGCTCTGCATGATGACAAACACGTCTAAATGCAGGCATGTTTGGGACTTTGAGGTAGTGGGCACAGTTTGGTTCCCAGTACCCATGTCAGGTAGCTCACCACACCTCTGGGTTTCATGGGTATCAGCACTCACCTGCACACATCCACAGAAAGACACAAACACAACCTTTGTCCACACAGTCTCTACAGCATACTTCCAACTTAGCTCTTCAGGTTTAACTTCCAGTAACTTATGAAACATTTGGTTGCTGTCTAGGCGTAGTTGTATATCATATGCCTTTCATCCCAACTAAAGATGAGCAGAAAGACTGTGAGGTCCAGGCCAGCCTATACTACAAGCAGGACCCTATCTCAGCAAAACCCTGGATTTATAGTTGATTAAAATTCTTGGATGCACATTTGTTCTTTGTGATTCCTGAAAAAAATTGAAAACCTCAGCTAAAATATTTATGGAAAAAATATAAATGCTAAATGTAATAATCAATGGAGACGTTTAAGCTCAGCATTTTTATCCATTTTGATCTCATGATTTTCTTGTGGTTATCTTCTTTCTTCAGGACTTGGGTTTCTGGATCTGGGAAAGGCTCCTAAGAAGCAGGTTCTGTGGCCAGTGACAGCAGAGGCACAAGCTATACCCTCCACCTCCCCCAAACAAGGCACCTGCAGAGAACATCAGGGAATGGAGACATATGTCTCCCTGACCCCCCCCCACACACACACATCCTAGCACTGTCAAAGAACAGAATCCACCCCAAATGCTTGTGATGATGGAGATGACAGGAAACATGAGTCCCCCTCCTCTGTCTCAGGTCCAGAGATAACTCATAACTCACTGGGAAAGGCTGCCCCTCCCTCTTTCAACACTTCCTACCAGGCTTCTTACAACTCCATCAGTCACCAAGGCTCTATGCAAAACCCGTTCAAGGGCTCCACAGAGAACCATTATCAAGTAAAACAAATGTTTGTGTGTGCTCCTTAGAAGCTACTCCAGGCGTGATCCAAAAGAAGAACCTAAACTACAGAGTGCCGGGCTGATGCCGAGACAAACTTTGCTTTTAAGAGTGCAGCGCAGTAACTTTCCTGCAGCTGCCTTCGTATAGCCTTTGAAGTTGAACAAGGGAGGACATGTAGACATGGGTTGAAGTTGGGATGGTGCAAATGCATAAAGATGAGTTGAGGCTTGAAGCAGCCAGATGGCCAGTATGTAAAACTCATGATCACGGTCACGCCTTCCCTTCCCCTCTAGGGACCCAAGAGAGGATTGCAAATCACAAAGAGTCTGGTTTACGGGACAGGAAAGAACACTGACTACTGTGCGACTGCCCCCCACCTTCCCATCTCAGACAGCACATAGGGAACAGAACCACCCAATCAGATGTGTACCTGGTCTGGGGGCCAATGCATTATTCATTGATGGCATCTATTTAGGCACTTAATTAGTTCCTGTCACACTCAATGGCTTATGTGTATACTCTGTGTGTGCGTGTGTGTGTGTGCGCGCACTTGCATTCATGTATGTGAGTATGACACATATGTGGAGGTTAGAAGACAATCTCAGATGTCAGTCCTCACCTCCCTCCCTGTTTATTGTTTTTCTACTGTATATACAGTCAGGGTAGCTGGGCTGTTCCCATAGGTCCAGACATTTGAACACTTTCCCTAGTCAGTGGCACTGTTTGGAGTGGTTATGGGAAGTTCATCCTTGCTGGAGGAAGTACATCACTGTATGTGGGCTTTGAGAATAAAGCCTCGATTTCT